AGCCCAATCCATAACCCCCTAACCCAATCCGAAACTGACCCAACCCTTTTTAAATCACAGCCGTTGATCTCAAAGATCAACGGGTCATATCACTCCCTTCCTTTTAATTAACCTACCTATCCCAAACCCTAACCCTCATTATCCCAGCCCCGCCGTCTCTATACTCTCTCGAACCTTCACCTCCTTCTACCAAACCCTAGCGCCGTCACCCCCAAATCTCTCCTATTCCGGCTCAAACATGGAACCAATCCATGATTTACTTACCTATTTTGTGTTACTCTATCATTATACGCTCGTCTATGGTATTACTTAGATTCTTGTCCTATTTTTAGCAAGAACTACCTCAATAACGGGTAGATTCACCCTTATTCTGTGAAGATCTGGACGATCTTTCGTCCATATACATGTTTTATTGAACGATTCATGCATCTCTGGTCTGATTCAAAGCATTAGTCTCAACTAGGGTTTAAGACCTTTCTTTGTTCTTTACTGATTCCTAATTGATACTCTTTCCTTTCTCGTATTTGACTAATATTTTCCTTATTTCTATTTGATCTACCATGTTTCCTTTATTTTTACCCTATTTTGCCCTAAATCTGATTGTTAATCGATTCTTATGTGATATTTTCCTTATTCTCTGTTGTATCCCCTTATTTTAAGTGTTACTCGCATGATTACATGTCGTTATTCTCTGTTAATACACTGAACTCTTTGTTTATATATTATTTGCCCTAAAAAATTAGATCCTAATTGATTGTGTGTTTAATATTTACCGTGTTTCCTGTTTATACTATACTACTATATAAACCCCTCCCCTTTCCCCTTTAGGAGACGAAAAAAAATCAATATACTCTCACTGAAAACTTAGGTTTTGGCTCTGTATTCTCTTTGCTCTCTCGTTTGATTCTGGTCTTGGCCGGCTGAAAGCCAAGGCTAAGTAATTCTGGGCTCTCGTCTATTGTGGTGTTATTCTTGCTTTTCTTGCCTAACTAGTGAGTGACTAACCTTTGTCATTTCATTCCTATGTATCCATGAACTGTGTTTATGATCCAGCATGTTTAAAATCCATTCCGAGCATGATTCTACCACTTTTGTGTTCCTATGATTTCTTTTAATCCTATAATCGATATTGTTAGTTCTGAGATTAGTTATCTTTGAATAATATGAATCCTCTTAGGTGATTAGCTTAATGTCTTTTAACGTGTTTCATGTATGCTATTTTGCTAGTTCTGAAATTGTCCTGAGCTTGGCATCTTTAGGATAATATTGGTATGTTCATCAGTTAATCAGTCCTGAGTATTTACAAACTTGTATTGTTTTTAAACCTTTCTTTGTCATTCATGTGCCTTGATCTTACCTTCTAATGTGTTTTGTATCCATTTGGACTCATGTGATTATCTGACTGTTTGCCTAAATGGTTTTTGTGATTGAACAAAGCTGTCCTAAAATGTTAGCATGTACACTTAGCCTAATTAGGCCTTTCAGACTTTAACTCATTAGATACTATGCACGAACAACTTGCCAATTTGTCTTCTTAATGCAATTCTGCCTATATATTCTGTGTTTTAAACTCTGTCATGATGGCTTTTCTAAAATCAAACTTGTCTTAAAATTTGTCTCCCTATGTGCTGCTGCCTTAAACTCCTATTCTTAGGTCCTTTAGATTCTATCTTTCACCTCCTCAGTGTGAGCACTGCTCGGGGTCCATGTGAGACTCTTGTGAACTCTGACACACTAGGGTTTGGTTCCTAACATCTTTTGAATTATTTCTGAGCATTTGGTCCTCTAGTGTGAGCATTGCCCTGGGTCCTTGAAGCCCTTGGGAAGTTTGACACACTGGAGATCTGTATACTATGTGTGATCATTCTGTACCTATGAAAGTGAGCCTTGGAGCTGCTATGGTTTGAAGGCCTGGGCTGCCCTGGTGTATTTGGGCCTGTTGTAGGCTCTCTATATCTTATTTCATTATTATGTAATCGATTCATTATTCTGGTCTGTAATAATTTTGTAACAAACAACTTTGGGGTATTTAGTAAAATCGCAGAGGGTTTCTTATTTTCATTTGCTAAATTGGGTAGAAATCCTGCCTATAGGATCTCATTGGTAATCCTGCCTATAGGATCTCATTGGTGCTGTTTCATATCATGCTTATAAGTCCTATGTTATGACCACATAATAGACATCCTGCCTATAGGATGACATTATGATTTGTTGACAATCCTGTCTTTATATGTATCAATCTATCCAATAAGCGTGTGTTAGTAATCATGTCTATAGGATTCAAGTCAGTTCAATGATAGAAGTCATGTCTATAAGACTCTAGTTCAAACCTAGAAATCATGCCTATAGGGTAATAATACTCACACACGTAGAAGCCATGCCTATAGGATTCTATTAATTGATTCGGAATCCGACTATCACTGTCAATCGCTTAGACAACATGCCTATAGGATTGAACAATAATTCCGGACTTATGATTGTGATTTACTGTCATTCATTAACGCCTGAAATGCCCAGATATTGTACTGAATTAAAATCAGTAGGCAAATACACGCAGGCCCTAACACTCGCATTAAGAACTGAATCTACACACTACTGGTCACCTGTTCATCACATAGATATCCTGCCCATAGGACTCCAAGATTAATAAAGCATGTTAAATCAGTTGCGTGCATTTGTTGTTTACATGCAGAGGTTAATGTGAGCCCATATCTATCTTTATTTGAAAAGTCCTAATTATTTTGCTTGTCGCCTAGTATTTTACAGTTTTGAGAACCTTAGGCCCAGTCTAGAACCTTCCCAAATAGTAGGTCCAAAGCCTCTTGGACCATAAACATGGGACGGGTAATGCACGCATAGGATACGACTTAGAATTAACTAGTACGCTTCAGGTAAACAACTTAAAGATAGTAATGGGTAGCAGGAGATGATAGTCTGTGCCCGCTGAATAATATGAGTAACACCCCATCCCGAGGGAGTTACGAAGTATTATTTATGTTGCACGGGGTGATCCTTTAGGCTAAATTTAGGACCCCCCTTCCTTGTCTTTCATCGATTATTCATGTTTTGGTAATTCCTTATTTCTTATCTTTGGTCACATAGACTAATTCGCATAATTTAAGTTCGGCCGGGACCCACCGTTGTGGACCTCGAGGGGTGCTTAACACCTTCCCCTCAAGGTAGTTTGAGCCTTTACTCGATCTCTTGTGATGCAAACTAGTATAATCTGAGTTATTTGCTATAGGTGCCCTAACGTACCTTAATCTGTTAGGTGGCGACTCTAACAACCAATTCCTTTTCCCTACTCTCTTAAAAGGAGTTGTCAAAATGTCGAAACCCGATTTCGCGAGAAAAAGGGAGCGCGACAGCATGGCGACTCTGCTGGAGATTATATTTAGGCTCTTACCATAAACTAACTTGGTTTTTGTGAATTAGTCTTCCCTGATAAGCATATCTTTGTTATTATTTTCCCGCTCCCATTTCTTCCCTTTTTTTTTCTACATGTACATCCATTTCCCCTATTTCCCTCTTGTATAAATCCATATGCAACTCTTGTCTAGTTTGACTACAACGTGTGTTTCCCCTTATTTCCTAATCTGTTCATTCGTTCCAATTTTTTTTAATACCATGCCTTTCCCCAATCCTTATCCCTTTATTTGTTTTGTTCTCTCATTACGCGAACTAACTTCTTCCTTGTTTCCCTTTCTTTTATGTCTTTACGTTCCATTCAATAATGCATTTACTGCTTCCAATGTGAAAATACTTGACAATGTATTATTTTGTCTTTGCATAAAGCATGCTCAGCATCATATTTCACTCGTGCATATTAATACCTTAGCGGCACTTGATGAGTGTCCGCACTCTTCCTAAAATCAACCTTTAAATTTGGAAAGGCTTATTTGCGGTAAAACTAGTCGATCGGTGGTGCAATCGACGGTTCCATGCCTTTCCCTATCAAGTTGTCCGCTTGAGGGTACCAGTCTAGACTCTTCTAGAAACCCCATTATAAAATCAGTTATGCATGCATCATGTCTAAACCTAGTATGAGTTAGAACGCTGTCCGCGCAATAACTCACTAAGACAAACCTTGTCCAAAGTCCACCGGGATTTTCATAATCCCAAGGGACGTAATCACGATCTGTGCATCATTTGGAGAAAAAACATGCCAATATGTTGATCATTAGCGTGAAATTAGCTGAATCTGGAAGGGGCAAGGGCTAGCTTTATCTATTTTGCAGAAATGAGGCACGAGGTCCCCAGGTTCGGCATGGTTTGGAATATCCCGTCTTTGTTACTGGATTGGTGGGAAAATCTCTCATCAAGTAACAAAGCATAGAGAAGGTCCTTCTGGGACCAAATAGATTAGAAAGTAGGTTTTACTTGCTTTCTCGACTCGTTTTAGGCTTTGGTTGTAATAAGGCGCATGCCATTAGTAACTTTTTATTATTATTGTCGTTTTATTGGAGATTCGGTTTATCTTCCATATTTATGAAATGACGCAGTTATTGGCATCAGTTTTCCTCCAAATCTATATGTCGCTTAGCCTTACCTCACAACTGGAAAATAAGGCTACTGCAACGGCTCAAAACCGTTGCAATAGGTAGCCAAACCGTTGCGACAGACATACGGCAACAGTTTTGCAGCCGTTACATCTGGTCGCGTGCCAATAGGTCTATAGCAACGGTTCCATGCAACGGTTGTAGGACCGTTGCAATAAGCCTATCTATTGCAACGGTTTCGAAACCGACGCCATTTGTCTACCTTTTGCAACGGTTATCGAGTCAAACAACGGTTCGAAAACGTTGCGGTATCATTTTGTGCAATGATTGTTGAGGCTATTTGCAACGGTTTTTGAAGCTATGGCAACTGTATTAAGAGCAACTGCAACTGCTCGTTGGAGCTATTGCAACGGTTGTTAGGAGCTATTGCAACGGTTATTAGGAGCTATTGCAACGGTTATTTACCTATATAATAAAATATAAATTGCAAAAAGAAACTACTCAACAATAAAATCATGATCCAAAATATCGAACTAGTATTATCTATTTATAAAAGCAAATACACAATATTTTTTGACAATTTAAGAGTTATCATACATAATTTCTAAAATAAAAGATCCGTAGACCATCTAAAAGTTTGACAACGATCAACCAACTCTTAAGTAGATCTTCACTGCTTTCAGCTATCCTTTGTTAATTTGTTTCACCTACAAAACCATCAAAAATAACTCATTTGATTTGGTTACATGGAATTAATTATAAATAAAAGATAAAAGATAAATGAAGCTAATTAAATACTCAACCAAGCAATATTTCTTCTGGGTAGTAAAAGAATTCATTATGCAACTATGCTTAAGGAATTCTTTAACGGTTACTTGGAATGATTGCCAGACAACCAAAGCATAAGTCATTCACCTGTAATAGTTCAAAGGCTTTTTCACCTGATAAAGTAATAACAAGAAGCTTCATTTTTCAATGCAATTTATTGTTCACTCCAAAACTTAATGGTCTAAATGTTGAACTACTAACAATCCAAAACTAAAACTTAGACAAACACAAAGTTGAGTGCCTAATCAGAAGGTAGAAAAAAGAACAAGCATAAAACTAGAAACTAGAAACTACAGTTCTGATATCAAGAAGTGTTCTCTGCAGGAGGAACTACCAAAACTGTTAAAGCCCAAAATTTAGAATACCATTTTTACTTGTTGCGAACGACCTGAAAGAGATGCTTGGTGCCACTTACTTAAACTTGTTAATCTAGATCAAGCATAAGTTGATAGTATAGGAGTAAATTTCAACATAATATACTTGAACTAGTACATGTTATCTTTACACAAAATAGACTTAAAACATATTCATGCAAAGTTGGACTTTGGCAGTAGATTTAAAAGTTAAACCAAAAAGCAGAAGTCATTCACCTAGAAATACCTTGGCTTGTGCATCTGTCAATTTGGCTGCTCCAACAAGTAATTATGCAAAGGGCAGTGCAAGCACTCTGCATAAATACAAAAGAGATAATTGTGTGTAAAGATCCTTATCTTATTTCTCATAAAACATCTGTAACGGTGAAGCCAAAGGTAGTAAAGATGTCACAAATATACCTCTGAGGAAATATTAGCACAAAAATTTCGGTAATACTATCTGCAAACCATGACCCAAAGATCATATTTAAAATCTTGGATTCTAACTATAGCAAATCACCTGAAACATAAAGAGTATAATAAAAATAGGCTAAATACCATGCTTATTTCCTTGGAGAAACATTAAGATATTGCTACTAGCTCCTTTAAACTGTGAAAGAGACATCTCCAAGTCTCAAAATTTTCAATAATCTATCATAGGTTGATCAGTAAAATTGGAGCTACTGATTCGACAAACTAGATAACAAATTTTGAGTATTAAAATATCAATAACGACCCTATAAACTTGATCCCATCTAACAAAGAATGTCATAGCTGTCATGGAGAGTGAAAGTAATAAAGCAATATCACTTTACCTCCTTCACAATTCAGATCTTCTACTAACTTTAACAACAACTGGAAATAAAAATGTTTTAAAGTATATTAGCAAATGTAGAACGTATACATAGTAAGGAGCTCATGCTACATGCTTAAGTCAAAGAATGATTCATTTGACAAAATATAAGTTTGCAAAATAGATTGCCACTGCCACGATATATAAAGAAAAATGACTAACAAATACATATCACTTACATCTTAAACTGATAATTCCAATTAGGCGAAAGCCAAAAAGACTAAAAAGAATATCTATCTAAGAATAAGGCAGGATAACATGATTAATACTTAAATATTTCTCAAGATCCTCAAAGCAACAACTTAGTAGTGATAAATAACAATTACTTCCATAATAACATCAGATAAGGGAATGAGGCATAAGCACCCGAGATAGTTGAAATGGATGTGAACAAGGGACTAGCCCTGAGTAAAGTTATTGTCGTGCTAGGCAATATTTGTTGTGATAACTTCAGGTCCATTTAAAGACTGCCAAAGCATTGCCATAATTCTGCATACAGCAAGAAACAACATTTTCCATTTTCAACCAATTAATCTCCCTTCATAGGAAATAAGTAAGAGAAATGTGAACAAAAGCAAAACAGACCTTTATTCAGAAAAGAGACTAATAGTAGTGATTACAAATGCTTAAGAACTTACAAAAAAAGCTATTAAATATTTGTCGTACATAAATAACAAACTCATCTGAGTAAGTTTCAATGTGTTCAAAGTAATATTCACTTTGTAAGGAAGGCCCTACCATGGTCAATATTAAAAGACATATAAAAAGCCCTTTCAGTTAACCATTTACCAAACTTCGAAGGTCATCAATGGAATGAGTACTCCATTAAAAACAAACAATAACAAATATTACTCGGATCTCTATTTATCATAGTAAGAATTCTAAAGTTCGGATGGATTATATGATCAGCAAGAGCTATGCCTTTTATAACTGCATTTTCTGTACTTGAGCTATGTAGCCAATCACCAATCACCATATATACCAGCTCTTCCATGAGGATCAAACTAATGTGAGCTAGCCATCCAATTTGATGGCTCGCTGTCCAGACTTAATTAATTTGCCAAACCTACTTATATCTATTTCAATGGTAACATATGATCTACAAAGCCTAATATGAACTTGCTCCACCAAAAAGGATTTTTATTAAACTACTAAGACGTTCCAAGTTATTCTCAAAGTGAGAATGGAAGGGAAGGTGATAGAAGTTAATAATTTAATATATTCATTAATACTTTTTATGTATTATTGGAATCCATAATTAGATTTCAGATGAAATATTATAACTACTATATTTTTTTGGGGTATCTAAAATAAGACTCTATAAGTGATAGACTAATCAAACTCATTAAATCTTCACAACCTATAAACATTCTATAAGCAAATACACAAAGACACTTCACTGTAATGCGTATGCATATAAGAGGTCTAACCAACAAATCACTTTCGCAATTGTAAAAGTTAATATGAACAAGTAGATCCCAATTTAAACTACACAAATTAGCCGCCTGCTCATTTTTCCCACAAGTAGGAACATAAAGAATATAACAGCAAGCTAGTTAGGAAACCAGAAGCATCCGAATGCACCAAGAATTATACTTTCTTGCAGCAAAATGATATTGATTAAAATAATTCCCTCAAAGATATACAAGAATAAATAGAAAGTTACATCTACTCAAACCTACATCTCAAAGAGAAAAGAAAAATACCTTTCACAATCAGAATACAAGTTCTAGTCCAATAAAAAATAGCAAATACTTCTCTACATCCCAATTTTCAACTCCAACTAAACATATTGTAAATAAGATTTGATTGATATATACTAGTTTTTACTTGGCACTCCCACAAGGACAAAATTACTGGAGAAACTTACATCTAAAACAAAGTGAATACCTTTCACAACATTAATACAAGTTCTAGTCTAATAAAACTAAAGCAGATACTTAATAACTCATACAACCCAACTTAAGCTCACACAACATGAGATCAAACATCAGTTTCTAAAGCAATTCATTTCAGGGAAAATAATTTTTTCATAGATACCAAAAAAGCAAGTTTAGACCCACACTACCCAACTTAATAGTTCATGCAACAGGAAATCTAATATCAATTTCTAGAGAAATTTTATCTAGATTATACAATTTCACCATAAATTACCAAAAGAAACAAATTTAGACCCGCACTAAAAATACCGTAATAAAAAACCTAACAATTTAGGTTCGAATCATCAATAGAAAGCAAGATATACCCTACCCACACCCAAAAGATTAAAGAAAAAAGAATTGATTAAAGAAGGAACGGAACCCCCAAAATATCCAGAAAAGAAAAACATACAGCTTGTTTAGCAAGCGATTTTCCACAGAATGCGTTTTGGGACAATAATTTCTACTGTTGAAGTCGCTAGGGAACAGCAATTTAGCGTATTAGGGTTATGGACAAGTGAGAAAATGGAGTAGGTTTGATAGGAAAATGGGGTTATTAGCTCGTCTGATAAGGTGGGTTATGGAAAATTGGAAATAAATTTGGGTTTCACGGGGAAAAAGGTTTGGTCATGTGGTAGTGTCTTTAGATCTTTTCTAAGAAAAAAAGTAAAATGAATATTAATTTTTTTTTGTGGGTTTAACAAAATAAAGGGAGGAAATAATTACCGTTCCAATTGATATATTTTTCCAAATACCGTGCCAATATATAACAATGTTGCAACGGTTAGGAAAACTGTTGCTATAAGAACTTCTAAGGCAACGGTTCCAGTACAATGGTAATGGTTTTATTACTACAGTGTATCGGTAGCATCAAGACCCTTTGGCAACGAGTGAAACCGTTGATGTACATCATTATAGCAACGGTTGTATAACTGTTGCATAAAGAATCGTTGCCATAGGTCCAATTTCCAGTAGTGCCTCGGGCACAACGAGGTCCCCAAGTTAGGACACGAATTTATAATTCCGCAATATGTGTTTAAATACTGCAAACAATCTTTTAATACACCTCACTGACTTGTTTACCTTTTTTGTTTTTCTTCTTTTCTTTATTTTGTTTATTCCCATCCCCTAAGGTTGGTTCGTGCATACTGGCATCATTAGCATATTATACCAGATCAAGAGGTCCTCCACCTTCTCCTCCTCCAAATGATCCGAAAAGCAAGGAAAAAGCTAAGATGGATGCTATGAGTGGTGTCAGGAAAGACAATGCTACACATGCTGAGAATGTGGAGACTTCAGACGGTCGGAGTACTCCGACACAAAATGATTTGGTCCTACGGTTGGAACAGAAAATACTAGAATTGCAAGGGGAACTTGAGCAGGCCCGCAACTTGGCAAACCTCTACCTCTCACCCTAAACGTCCCAGATATCAACCAACAAAATGCCCATAACCCAGTATCTCCTCAAAATACACCAATCCAACGTCCACAAAATCCTCCGCACCCCACCAATACGCAACACCTCCCCAAAATCCTAATCCTCCACTAGTACCAACTCCTCCTCAACACCAACATCTTCCGACTCAGTACCCGCAAACCACTACTTACCATACTCCTCAAAACACCCCACAACCTATTCCCGATCCGCAAAATTCAACTAATGATCACCACTACACTCAAACTCCCGGCACCCACCAAAACAATCCCATATACGTGGAAACCTTACCACACTCCACTCAACCAATCTCATACATTCCAGAATCTGCCGAGAAGGACCTGCTCATTAAGAATATGGCGGAGGAACTCAAGAAGCTCACAAGCCGAGTCCAGGGTGTTGAAGGAGGCAAAGGAATTGAGGGTCTGAATTATAAGGATCTATGCATTCAGCCTGACGTGGAACTGCCAGAGGGTTACAAACCTCCTAAGTTCGAGATGTTTGATGAAACATGTGACCCGAAGGTACATTTGAAGACATACTGTGACAAGCTTGTGGGGGTCGGGAAGGATGAAAGGATTCGCATGAAGCTGTTCATGAGAAGTATCACTGGAGACGCCCTATCTTGGTACATAAGTCAAGATCCCAAGAAATGGGTTAATTGGGTAAGCATGACATCAGACTTCATGGACCGATTCAGGTTTAATACAGAGAATGCACCGGACGTCTTCTAATACAGAACCTCAAGAAGAAACCAACGGAAACTTTCCCCGAGCATGCTACTCGATGGAGGTCAGAAGCTGCAAAGGTTAGGCTAGCATTAGAAGAAGATCAAATGAACAAATTCTTCGTCAGGGCCCAGGATCCACAATACTATGAAAGGTTAATGGTCATCGAAAATCACAAATTCTCCGACATCATCAAACTCGGAGAAAGGATTGAAGAAGGTATCAAGAGTGGGATGGTAACCAATTTTGAGGCATTGCAGGCTACAAACAAAGCATTATAGTCAGGGGGCATATCAAAGAAAAGAAATAGGGGCAGTGATGGTAGCCCAAGGTCCAAAATCTCCACTCACATACCAAACACCTCCACCCATATACCAACCTTCGCCTCCCAGATATCCCCAAACCGCCTACCACACTTATAATACCCAGCTAGCCTATTATCATTCACCTCCAACCCGTCAAAACTATCAAAAACCCAGACCCAATTTTGATCCAGGCCGCCCAGACAATACACCCCTATTGCTGAACCCATCGACCAACTATATGAAAGATTGAAGGTTATCGGATATGTTACCCCTATTCCCGCTGTTGCCATAGAAAACTCCTCCTAGTGGGTCAAGCTAAACAAAACATGTGCATACCATTCCGGCATGAAGGGACATACCATAGATGAATGCCGCACTCTGAAAGACAAGATTCAGACACTAATTGATACCAAGGTCATACAAGCAAAGGAAGCCACACCCAACGTTCGCAATAACGCTCTCCCGGACCATAATGGTGAAGGAGTAAACGTGATAGAAACCGATGAAGAATGGGATCCTGAAGGGTCAATTGGACTTATTCGGGAAGGTGACGACCCTAAGAAGACTGCAGTCACACTTACTCCTATTGTGGTACAGATACAGCCGCCGGTCGAAGTTGAGTTAGCCGTATTAGCTCCCTTTGAAATCGAAGTGACAGCACCTGCAACTACACCTACTCCATTTGAAGTAGAAGTAGCCACACCCTTCACTGTGACGGTAGTATCCACACCACCCTTCAATTCCAACGCCATACCTTGGGATTATGTTGCCGAAGCTAGGAGAAAAGGGAAAGTAAAAATGGAAGAGTCTGGTGCTGCACAAGGGATGACCAGAACTGGAAGAATCTATGCACCTGAAAATTTGGGAGGAACAAGCAAGGAAGCCGCTGCCAAAAAACTAATCATTGAAACTGGTCCAGATGATCTCTGGATGAAGGTACGGGCAAGAGAATACTCTGTTTTTTATCATCTGAACAAAACTCCCGCCCAGATATCCATCTTGTCATTGCTACAAAATTCCGAGGCACATAGGAATGCTCTGATGAAAGTGTTGAATAAAGCGTACGTGCCCAACAATATCACCAGCGGAGAAATGGCCAACATAGTGGGGCAAGTGCTGGAGAGCCACAAGATTACTTTTCACGAAGACCAGTTGTCGCCTGAGGGATTGAGCCACAACAGGGCACTACACATCACAGTGCAATGTGAGGATAAGTTCATTGCCAGGGTTTTGATAGACGGAGGGTCCAACCTCAACATCTGTCCGCTGACAACTCTAAAAAGGTTGGGCAAGGGTTTGCATGAAATACGAGCAGGAACTATGAATGTGAAGGCATTCGATGGGTCACAAAGAGCCACGATTGGGGAAACCAATTTATGTTTGCAGATGGGTCCTACTTGGTTCGATGTCGAATTTCAGGTGCTAAACATATCCGTCTCCTATAATCTGCTGTTGGGACGACCCTGGATACATGCCGCTGGGGCTGTCGCATCCACTTTGCACCAAGCTGTGAAATTTGAATGGAATCATCAAGAGGTAATCATTCTTGGAGATGGGAGCAATCCCATCTATACCAATCAAACCGTTCCGGTCGTAGAAAACAGAAGGAAGTTGGGTGGAGAAACTTATCACCGCATCAAGTGTATCAATACAATTGACAAAGATAAATGGTGGAGCAGCAAAATATAAAGAATACTGGCACGGTCAGGGTATGAACCCCGCAAAGGGCTCGGAAAGAAACTCCAGGGCATTACCAAACCAATACAGCTAAAACGTCATGGTACAACTTTTGGGCTTGGATATCGGTATAAATGGCAAGAATATGATGATTGGTCGCCACCATGGCATGGTCCCTGTTACCCTCTTGAGCAGCCAGTGCCGCATCTGAGTCAGACCTTTCATCAGGCCGATACAATATGGGGATTCGACGAAGAAGAAGCTTTGGTTAGGCCAAGGAATCTATTCTTAGAAGACGAAGATATGGATTGCAATGTGATAGTTGAGGAGGAGGAGGAGGAGGAAGGCCTTATCATTCAGGCGGTGGAGAGGGGAGCATTTCTTAGGAACTGGACCGCCACACCATCCAGGGCCAGACGAGTCCCGGGGTAGCATGGCTACTGATGCTATTTAAAAAACATGTCGTTTGAGCATTTTGTTTAAAAACATCTTTCTTTCAGTATTTTGTTTAGGAAAACATTATTTTGAAGTCATCTAGACGATATTTTGTTTAGCGTTTCAGTATTTATCAAATAATTTGATATTTTATTATCGTTATCTTTCATATTTTCTTCTACAACATTACTATTTCTTACCTTGATGAACCAACGACTGTCACATGTAATGAGACAACGAAACATAAGGATAGTGACTCGAAGGAAGATGAGATACCTGAGGAAGTTATCAGAGAAGTTGAGAATTTTGAGAATAAGCCTAAGTCCAACCTGGACGAAACCGAGATAGTCAATTTGGGAGAATCTGAAACCATCAAAGAAACTCGCATAAGTATTCACCTATCACCGTCAGAGAAGGAAGAATACACTCGTTTCATGAAAGAATATGAGGATATTTTTGCGTGGTCATATGATGACATGACCGGTCTGAGCACATCCATAGTGGCTCATAAATTTCCTACCAATCCAATGTGTCCGCCAGTGAAGCAGGAACTCAGAAAGTTCAAACCAGACATGAGCCTAAAGATCAAGGAGGAAGTCACTAAGCAGATCAAAGCCAAAGTCCTCAGGGTAGTTGAGTACCCAACCTGGTTAGCCAATATTGTATCGATTCCAAAGAAAGATGGGAAAGTCAGGGTGTGTGTTGACTATCGGGATTTAAACAGGGCAAGTCCCAAGGACGATTTCCCACTACCAAATATACACATTCGGATCGACAATTGCGCCAAGCATGAACTCCAATCCTTTGTAGATTGCTTTGTAGGTTATCATCAGATTTGGATGGACGAAGAAGACGCGGAGAAAACAGCTTTCATTACACCATGGGGAGTGTATTGCTACAATATGATGCCATTCGGTCTGAAGAATGCTGGGGCCACCTATATGAGGGCCATAACGACCGTCTTCCATGATATGATATACAAGGAAATAGAGGTATATGTTGACGATGTTATCATCAAATCCAAGAAAGCTACGGATCACATAGCAGACTTGAGGAAGTTCTTTGACCGGCTACGGAAGTA